TAACCTAAGGAAATACCTTGTCACTACACTTAGCAGCAACTATCAGTATTGGCCCTAAGAAGGGATAACAACTAAAGACGTCTTCGACTTGGCCTCAAGTACCCGGCACACCTATTACCACTTAAGGTGACACCGGCTTATCTACCGCCTGAACCTTGAACGTCACAGTCACGGGTAGGTATCGGCCCTATGGGCCTTTCTATCAAATGAAATACCCCTGCAGGATGCATACGCTCTCGGTCCAATAGATACTCAGACACGCGTGCACAAACATAGTCTTAGGGTCGGACTCTGGCCATGAGGTGGACCGAGCCGCTTCTCCATGTATACGTAGCCGGCTCCTTTTTAACCGTAATAGGAGCTAGCTTAGTAGGTTTCGGGGCAAGACTGATAAGCTGCGGACTTGGGGATCGAATCTGCCTTACCTCTGAGCTAGTTCCTTTTGGTAAGGAGCTTGATTTTTATTTACCCCGGGGTCAAACGGATGGGACTCGAACCCGCGAAAAAATAGTTCAAGTTAATTTGGTAGTAGAAGCCGAGAATAACGGGGCTGCAACATTTGGCAGGCTAGGGTGGTTAGTCGTTAGATTGCAGTTAGATTTTGTTTTTTTGTTTTTTGTTTTTTTTGCCCTCTTATTTTTCTTTTATTTCTTTTTTTTCCTTTATTTCCCTTTCTGCTCGTACGAAAACCTTTGTGAACTTACCTTACTGCACCTGCCCTGGTTTTTCGGGCGAATTCCTTCAGAAGGAGGGTCGATAAGCCACGAAGGCTGCCGAATCGAATGGGGGTGGACCCGACGCATGCGCACAAGGGAAAACAAAAGGAAGATCTGCACGAGGGGGATATGCACGAACTGAGAATTAGTCGCGTGCAGTCATGCTTACGACGGAGGAAACCATGCACGGAGAGTAGTGAGTAAGACACGAGCAGTGAACGAAGAAAGGGCGCACAAAGAAGGAAGGGAGGATCGAGGCTTAGAGGGGAGAGAAAAGAGGCGTGTAAGAAGAGGGAAGAGGAGATTTGTGCGTGCTTCGGCTCGTAAGAGGCTGGCAAGTAGTTGCCACAAATGATGCTCAGCCATCTCTTCGTCCTTCTTGAGGGGCTTGCTGTATCCGCTCGTCACTAGCGGTGGTCGCCAATTTCGACACTTTTCATCCCTTAGGATTCGAGGAGAGGGTGAGCGTATAGAAGGAGAAGGAGAAGAAGGGGGAGAAAGGAGAGGAAGAGGGAGTCGAAGGAAAGAAACTACTCACCTACGACGCAAGGAGCATCCGACTATCGACAACGACGACTGTGACAGCAACGATAACAACGAGGGAGGAGCAGGTGAGTTTTCCTACCCCGATGACCTCCCGCTACTCCCAACAACAAGGAGATCATCGAACGAATCTTCCACTGGAATGTGGAAATATACACTACCGCGTATGAGGACAAGTGTGCATATGTGATCGCTCGCTACCTTTTTGGGTTCGACGTGTGTGACTGTGTTCCTATCCGCGGCCGGCGTAATGTTCTGAGCGAAACATAACGAATTTACCACCACAATGGGGAACTATGCGCTGCTATACGTGTGCGTGTGTGCCGATCACGCGGCTAACAAGGCAACAAAGGATGAGTGAAAAACGAAATCTACCGCTAGAACATGGAAATATACACAAGAATCAAACGAACCTACCCCCTAAAAGGTGGACATATACAGTGTGTAAAGGATATGTGTGTTTGAGTGTGTGTGTGTGTGTGCGGGTATGTGGGCGCTTGAGTGTGAAAGAAGGAGAGCGCGTGTGAGAGGGAAGATAGTGAAGGGAGAGATGGGAGGAAAGACCTGCCTATGTACTTCGCGAAGTCAGTAAAGGAGGGTTCGGCTTCTCGATAAGTCGGTGAAACTCCGGCGGGACAGTTGTCACAGCCACTCGTTGTTATCCTCTTCTCCCTCTCTACCCCCAAATTACCAGGTAGTTCGGTCTGATGATATATATATATATATATAAATATATATATATCATCACAAACAGAACTGCCCGGTAAACCGTAGGCAGAGAGAGAGAAGAGGACAACAAACGAGGGGCTGTGACAAACTGTTTCATCGAAGTTTCACCGACTCATCAGGAGGCTGAACCCTCATCGTCACAAACAGAACTGCCCGGTAAACTGTAGGCAGAGAGAGAGAAGAGGACAACAAACGAGGGGCTGTGACAAACTGTTTCGTCAAAGTTTCACCGACTCATATAAGTTCTGTTTGTGATGATATATATATATATATATATATTTATATTTATATATATATATATATCATAACGAAAGTAGTTTCCTCCGTATCTTGTTTTGCGGCCGGGTGTATTGTACTCAGTTGAGCACTGCATATGGGAGTCGGACCATTCAAGGAATGAGGGAGAGGGAAGGCAGAAGAGAGAGAGATGCAAGAGAAGAAGGAGAGTGAAGAGGGGGAAGAGAAAGTGGAGTAGAGCACGTACTCTGTAGCCAACATGCTCTCCGACGCCTACTCATCTTGGACCTCTCGTATAGGGGATTGACGATGACGGATGATGCAAAAGACATACCTAGTGCAGGAGGCATGTGGCATGTCGAGAAAATCGTGGTCGTCATCTTCAGCGTTGAAGGTAGGGTAGGAAGGATCTGCCAGCGGTAGTCTGAGCGCCAAGTGCCAGTTAGGATAACGGCAGTGGTCTGGGTATGACTCTACTCTGTCTTTTTGTTGTATGAGTTACCCAGCTTCCCGATCGATGGTCGTTAAGAAGAAGTTAGATCAGGAGGTGATGATGGTGCTCGTCAAACGAGTCGCTAAGTGTTCTTCATCCTACCCACCTTCAATTGAAAAACTTCTTGATGAGTACAAGGACTTGCAGATTGAGCCGACAGGAATTACTGAGAGTGCTATCAAGCACACCATTGAGATCATTCCCGGAAGTAAGATTCCCAAGGGTCCCATCTACCGAATGTCTCCTAGGGAACTTGAGGAACTGCGGAAACAGCTGCAAGAACTTACTGACAAAGGATGGATTCGCCCTAGCTCATCTCCTTATGGTGCGCCTGTCTTATTCGTGCCTAAAAAAGAAGGTGAACTTCGTTTATGTATTGATTACCACGGGTTGAATTCCGTCACTGTTAAAAACGTGGAACCTCTTCCGCGTATTGACGATCTATTGGATCAGTTGCAGGGATGCAGGTCTTTCAGTAAGATTGATTTCAAATCAGGGTATCACCAGGTTGAGGTGGCACCTGAGGATCAACACAAGACGGCTTTCCGAACCAGGTATGGCTACTACGAGTTCGTGGTTATGACTTTCGGTCTGACCAATGCACCTGCGACCTTCCAAAGATCAATGGATGAGTTATTTCGTCAATGGCTTGACCAGTTCGTAGTAGTTTATCTTGATGACATTTTAGTGTATAGCAAAACACTAGAAAATCATGAAAAACACCTATAAATGGTTTCGCAGAAGTTGCGCGAGGGCAACTTTAAACTGAATCCAAAGAAGTCGGAGTTTGCTAGGCCTGAAGTCTTGTACTTCGGGCATATGGTAAACGAGGAAGGACTAGGGCCTGAAGAAAAAAAGATCACAGCAATCAGAGATTGGCCACAACCCAAGACTTTAACTGAACTACGATCTTTCCTAGGACTTCCTAGCTACTATAGGAAGTTCGTCAGAAACTTTTCCCTGATAGTTGCTCCTATGAGAAGATTATTGGGAAAGGAAAAACCTTGGTTGTGGGACAAAGATTGTGAGTCATCGTTTAGGAAGTTAAAACATACTCTGACCCACTACCCTGTCCTAAAGATTGTTGACCCTTCTCTTCCTTTCATAGTCACGACTAACGCCAGTCAGTATGGGATTGGGGTTGTGCTACAACAAGATGACGGTAAGGTATATAGACCTGTTGAGTTTATGTCGCGAAGACTTCTGCCAGACAAGGTAGCCAACTCTGCATATGGAAGGGAACTATATGCCTTTGTAGCTGCACTAGATACCTGGAAGCACTACTTGTTAGGGAGGCATTTCACTGTCTACTCTGATCACTCTACATTGAAGTGGATCAAGACTCAGCCCAAACTCTCCGACAAGTTGGTAAGGTGGTCCGCATTCCTTGATACATTTGACTTTGAGGTGAAAACCATTAAAGGTAAGTCTAACGTGGTTGCGGATGCTTTCTCCAGGCGTGCAAATTTCTTTAGAACTATTGTTTCTTATCTCGATATTGGAAATGAATTAAAGGAACAGATCCGCTAAGGTTATGGGAATGATCCTATTTGGAGTCCTATCATTCGAACTCTACGAAAAAACCCTGAGTTGTTTCCAGAATATCGAATGACTGATGGCTTACTCTTCTTGCTGACTAAAACCAAAAACTGATTGTGTTCCTCACCTAGAATCAATTAAAAGTTTGATCGTTGGGGAATGTCATGATGCAGAAGGTCACTTTGGTTTTAAGAAGACATATGCCGATGTGCGAGAACGTTTTGAATGAAAAGGAATGAAGGAAGATTGACTAACGTATGTGCGGACTTATCTTGTTTGTAAAGGAACAAGCCCTCACATGAGAATCCGATGAGACTACTACGACCACTGCCTATTCCAAGTGAGCCAGGTGAGTCCATCTCAATTGACTTTATGAGCCTCAATAGTCAAGTAATGGTAATCGTCGATAGATTTTCTAAGTATGCAATGTTCATTCCTTTGCCTGCTGAGGCTGGAACCAAACTAGTCATACAAAAATTTCAAATGTGATGGATCTCCGAGTATGGATTTCCCAAAACCATCGGATGGACCGTCAAATGCGGGGGAATCTCAACGATGAATGATGGACCCGCGGGGTCGTCGCCAGCTGCTGAAGTGACCATCCATGGTCCAAACCACCTAGGGAGGAGCTTGCGCGAGACGTCCTGCTCGAGCGCGAATTCCTCGGAGGCGACCCAAACTAGGTCACCAGCGCGAATTGGACATGGGATGCGACGCCGGTTCGCTTGCTGCTGCATACGGACCTGAGTCTTTTGCATGTTTGCGCGGGCTTTGGCCAACAGTTCCCTGTACTTCCGTGTAGAAGCGGGGGAGCAAGCGGCGTCTATATTGGCAGCCCGTGGAAGCAAAATGTCTGCGAAGATACGTCCTTTCCGTGCACCGTGGTGTAACTCGAATGGAGTCACGCCAATCGCCGGGTGCACCGAAGTGTTGTAGGCGAACTCGATGTCGGGAAGGCGGTCAACCAAGTCCTTCTGATCCGGGCGGATGAGCGTGCGGAGCATCATCTGCGCAGTCTGGTGCTCACGTTCCGTTTGCCCATCCGTTTGAGGATGCCGTGCGAAACTCGGTTTCATGCTGGTGCCGGATTCCGCCATGAGTGGCGTCCAAAAGGCCGACATGAAACAAGTGTCGCGGTCGCTAACGATGTCTTCCGGAACGCCGTGGCTGCAAAACCAGCCGGTATGCAAAAGTCGTGCGAGCTCGGGAGCCGTCGCATGATATTTGCATGGAAGAAATCGAGCGTACTTGCTCAAACAGTCAACGACCGTGAGAATACCATCATGACCAAGGCGATCGCAAGGGAAAGGGCCGGTCACATCCATAGCAATGGAGAGACCCGGTGCCCGAGGAATCGGCAATGGTTTCAGTTGGCCATAGGGGAGCTATTGGCGCCCTTTGTTCCGGTGGCAAACTGCGCATGATTGAATGTACCGGTTGACGTCGTTGATGATGTCCGACCAGTGAAATCGCTGGCGGAGTCGTGCTAGTGTGCGTGCGACGCCAAGGTGTCCCGCCAGCCTCGAATCATGGTATTCGCCACGGAGGCGAGTGCGCAAGATGCGGTCTTGGGGAACCACACAACAAGTCCTTGCCTTGTGTATGAAGAAGCAATTAGGCGTCGACAATGTGATAGTTGCTTGCCGGCGAATGATCCGATGATAAGTCCGCATAGAGTGTGGAGAATCCCGGATCCTATTGTAGTCGTTTACGAAGTGCTGTTGCAGGTTCTTGTCGAGGCCGAATGCGGAGTGCACCAAGGCGCAAAGATCAGGTCTTCACGAGAGAGCATCCGCTGCCTTGTTCGAGTAGCCCGGAATGTGCTTGGAGGTGAAGTCGAACTGGTCAATGAAGTACATCGACCGATCGTGCTGCTCACCGTGTCTTGCGTCTTGTAATACGTCAACGGATTGTTGTCCGTTGCCCATGTGAATCGCCGACGCCTGAGGAGAAAGTGACGCCAACGCTTAAGTACAGTGACAAAAGCTAGGAGTTCCTTCTTCCTCGGATCATCCAGAGTGTTGATGGGCGGCACCTTTTGGTTGAAGTACTTAACCGGATGCCAGTCTGCGTCGTCATGCTGTTCCAAAACCACGCCAATGCCGTAATCGGAAGCGTCCGTAGTCACTTTGGTGGGCAAAGCCGGGTCATAGATGCTTAGGACGGGAGCTTGAAGCAACGCCGTCTTCAGCGTGTGAAACGCATGCCGGGTACCTTGTCCGCGAGCGGACGAATGCCTTGCGGCGTGACGTAATGGCCTAAGTACTCCAGCTCTTGCTGGGCGAACTCGCACTTGTCGCTGTTCGCCTTGTACTTGGCGATACGAAGCCGCTCCAAAACGGTGCGAAGATGCTCGAGATGCTCGTTCAGGGTCCGGCTATAAACCAAGATGTCATCGAGGTAAATGAGCACGGTGCTGTCGAGTAAATCGCGGAATTCCGTCGCGATGGCCGCTTGCAAGGTAGCCGGGGCATTGGTGAGACCGAAACGCATGATGATCCACTCAAAGTGCCCATATCGCGTCTTGAACGCGGTTTTGTACCGGTCTCTTGGCTGGATCTCAATCTGATGATATCCTGACTTGAGGTCAAACTTCGAGAAGTACTTGGCGCCGCCTAGTCGCTCGAGAAGATCATCGATCCAAGGGAGAGGGTCGACGTTCTTGATCGTTTGCGCGTTAAGTTTTCGATAGTCCATGCACAAACGAAGGTCCTTCTTCTTCTTCCTGACGAAGAGAACGGGAGCAGCGTATGGCGAACAGCTAGGGCGAATCTCGCCCTTGGCCAAGAGGTCGTCTAGTTGTGCCCGAAGCACTTGAAGTTCCTCTTCGCTCATGCGGTAGATGCATCCGCGTGGAGGTACGACACCGTCCTCGAGAGTGATCCCGTGGCGTATGGGCCGATCCGGTATGACTCCGGCGGGAGCTTGAAAGACATCCTCATAGCTGTCCAACAACTCAATGATGAGTGGGTCCGACGTATCCGTCTTCGGCTGACATTGGGTGGGAGGGCGTGAAGAAAACATATGCCCATCTCCTCGATGTCGTTCCGCCGGATGGATTGGCGAATGCTCGCCGCGGATACCACGCGACAACCAATTGAAGGATGAGGAAGCGGCACTGTACACGGGACTAGTTCGCCGCGCCGATCACGAACGTGAACGGTGCGTCGATGGAAGTTCACCGCATGGTCTTCGCTTTGCAGCCACGACATGCCTACGATCATATCGAACTTGGTGTCCAATATGTCGAAAGGCACGGCCTCGCATGCTAGCGGGGCAAAGTACACGGGCACCGAGTCAATGAATCGGTCGATTGACTTTTGCGTGTGACCATCGGCCAACGTGACGTGCGTAGGCTGACTTTTCCTTCGAACGCGAGGGCCTAGCCCGGCGCATGCCATGAAGTTTTGGCTGATGTAGTTGCGAGTCGCTCCACAATCGATCAAGGCACTGCAGGTCGCCTTTCCGATCTGAATGCGGATGTAGAGGAGCGGCGCGTCGTTGTCGACATACCGTTGCGTTGCGTACTCGCGGTCGATCTTCGCAAGATAGCTACGAAGGTCAACAACCACTACTCCGCCGTCCGTCGACGGAGGTGGTACTGCAGCGTGCAAGTATTCGCGTAGATGTGCCATTAAGGCATTGCAATGTGGAGTTTGCAAAAAACCGGTGGAGGGAAGAGGCAACCATTGGAAGTCCTCAACCGTCAACGGATCGAGATCCTCAAGTCTCGTCCAAGTTGACGGATCCTCCAATAAAAGGGTTGGCGAAGCAACCGGTTCGTTGTCCGACGGCGGAGCTGCCGCGCATACGCTTGAATCTTGCACGTGGAGAGGGTGGTTCAACGGTGGGACCAGCTCGACAACATAGTTCTCAAACTTGACGCGAGAACTTGTGACTACCGCAGTGTCCCCGGATGTGAGAGAGGCTGCTAGCAAGGCAACCGACTCCGGCGAACTGGGAAATGTTGTCGCTGCACTTCCCGCGGTGCTCAGTTTCCCAAGCCGGGACGCTTGACATTTTCCTTGTCCTTGTCGAGGCAGGCACTGGTGATGTGTTTGGTGTTGTTGCACCATAAACAACATGACCAATTCCGTCCCAACTTGAACATTTCTTCGGTAATGCCAAATTTCGTCCATGGTGCCTGTCGTGCTCCATCCGCCGACGCTTCTTTCGCCTTCTTCCCCCCTCGGGGTTTCGTGTGTCGTGGGGGTATCGCTGCCGCCACATCTCCATCACTTGATGTTGAAGCGGCTGCGTGGTCCTCACTTGTTCCTTGTTGGACTGCTGCTACTTGCGGCGTCCGTTGTCCCTTGCCTTTCTCCACGTAACCGGGCTGTTGGCGGGGCTCGTTAGCCGCACGCCGGTTACCTTGTATAAGTTCTCTAGCTTTGGCGATCATGTCGTCAAAGTTCTTATACTCAAATTCGCTGCCGAGAGCAGTCGTCAAGGCGTCGCAAGATCGGGCGAAGAACTCGCCTCGGATTGAGTCGAACGGTAGCTTCAACTCCGGGGTGGCGACGAGTCTTTGCCACTCCGTCAGCTATTCCCACGAAGGTTGCTGGCCTTGGAAGATGCGAAAGATCTTGTTCAAGGCGCGATGCTTGTCGTTGTTCACCATGAACCGGGTCTTCCACTTCTTTTCAAACTCCTCCCTCGTGATCTTCGTGTGGAGGGTGGCGATGGTACATTCTAGCGTGACGTCCATGTGCGTCATGAATTGTTGCGCCCCGCCGATAAGTTGGAGGTACAATGCGTCCATCCGCCGTAGGGGTGGAGTATGATGTACGTTGGCCTCCGCGTTAAACGCCATCCACCATTGCAGCAGATGCATGTAAAGGCCCCGAAAAGACTAAGGAGCCTGCGTCAATAAGGATGGATGAAATGCATGAGACTCGAGGGGTGCATAGAGGCGAGGGGGAGGACGGCATCGCCGCACCCCGATGAGGCCGTAGAATTGCAATGCTTATGGAAATGGTGCGCGGCCTAAGGATGACGCTTAGCCTGTGCACAAGAGAAGAAAAACTCTCAAAGAACCCCTGGACTGCCTGCGTATTGGAAGGAGCAATTGCTTGAGAACACAACCAAAAAATAAAAAAAAATAAAAAAAAATCAGCGTGGCGGAACCACCAGCGAGACTACCACCCGGCGTGAGGGCTGAGCTACATCCCCAATGTCAAAGCTCTCTCGCGCGATGGCCCACCCCCATCCATCTCAAAGCACTAGGTGGGGGTGACCCTGGGACGAACGGCCCGCGCCCTGAGCATGAGCGTGGGCGGGTCGAGCCAACTGGGACCCGCAGTGGGGTCGACTAAGGCTCGAAAGTCTACTGGGGTTATCGAATCGGCTCAGGCGAATTGGAAGAGTTGCGAAGACAGATCAATGACATGATTGGCAAGGGATGGATCAAGCCAAGCGAATCCGAATTCATGCACCAGTTTTGTTTGTCCCGAAGAAAGGAGGCAAACTATGGATGTGTATCGATTACCGCAGAGTGAATAGAATAACAAGAAAGAATGCATACCCTTTGCCGCGTATTGATGATCTGCTAGATGCTGCAGGTGGATGCAAGGTCTTCAACAAAATCGATCTCAAGTCTGGCTACCACCAGATTGAAGTCGACCCTGCAGTCCAGCATAAAACTACATTCAAAACTCGCGATGGGCTGTACGAGTTTACCGTCATGCCCTTCGGCCTCACGAATGCACCGACCACCTTTCAAAGTCTCATGGATAAAGTGTTCCGCAATCAGATCAATCGATTTGTTGTTGTTTATTTAGATGACATACTCATCTTCAGCAAGTCGATGGAGCAGCACATGAAACACCTTGAGGAAGTGTTGCAGATCCTCAAGGATGGGCAGCTCCATCTCAACTCGAAGGAATCTGAGTTTGGGAGGGACAGCGTCATGTACCTTGGAATCCGTTGTTTGTTGCAGGCCTAGAGCCCGAGGCAACCAAAGTTAAGGTCATCCGCAAATGGCCTCAATCGGCAAATGTCCGCGAGCTGCGTTCTTTTCTTGGTCTTGCATCATATTACCATAAGTTTGTACCCAAATTCTCTATCATTGCCCGACCGCTCTCCAGATTGACCAGCAAGAATATGTCTGACACATGGGATGGGGAATGCACAACAGTCTTCCAAGCATTGAAGGAGGCTTTGGCAAGTCATCCGGTGCTCCGCATTGCATATCCCAAACTTACATCAGATGCAAGCTTGTATGGGATTGGTGCAGTGCTGCAACAAGATGATGGCGACGGCTTACGTCCGCTCGAATTCTACAGGAAACGTATGCCCAGTCACAAGGTAGCTGCCTCCACTTACATGCGAGAACTCTATGCCTTGAGAGAGGCGTTAGGTCATTGGCAGCACTACCTCTTGGGTCGTCATTTCAAAGTGTTCTCAGACCACGAGACTTTGAAATGGATTCAGCCACATAATAATCCATCAACTACATTGACCCGCTGGCTGCATGAGATTGTTGTGTATGATTTCGAACTTAGGCACAAGAAAGATTGTTACAATCGCGTTGCGGATGCTTTGTCTCGCCACCCTGAGTACATGACTTGTCTTGTGGGGTCCTATGATCTCCGTAAGAACTTGAAGGAGGAACTAGTTGAGCATACTGCCAAGGACTCGGAACTCAGTCCCATCCTTGAGCAGATCCAGGCTGACCCTAGCATTCAACCTGACTTCCACGAGTGTAAAGGTTTGCTCTTCCGATGTTACGGGAAGTACGACCGCCTGTATGTACCCAATCATGAGCCTATCCGTACTCACTTCTTGGACTCGGCTCATGGCCGGAGTGGGCACTTCAATTTTGAAAAGATATATGGAAGTCTGTTGCAAAAGTTTGTATGGCCTGGGATGAAAGGAATGGCACGAAAGTTCGTGGCTGAGTGTGAAATTTGTCAAGGCATCAAACCGTCTCGGCAGAAGCCCTATGGGCTGCTGCATCCTCTTCCTATTCCTGATGGCCCGGGTGAGTCTCTTTCCATCGACTTCACGGACATGGGAAAGAAGAGTAGGAATGGATATTCGCAAGTAATGGTGATCGTTGACTGCTTTTCAAAATTTCTGAATTTGATCCCATTACCACCTCATGCCCCAACTGACCTTGTGATCAAAGAGTTTCACAAGAAGTACATTTTGCAGTGTGGGCCCCCGAAAACTGTTGTGAGGGACACTAGGTTCATAAGTGCAGATTGGAAGGACTTCACCTCCCAGATCTATGACATCAAACTCAAGATGACGTCTGGTCGACATCCCGAAGCCAATGGATTGGCCGAGGAGATCAACCAGACTGTGATCCAACTTCTCCGAGCTCTAATTGTGCCTGATCATAACTCTTGGGATGAGGAATTGCCGATTGTGCAGGGGTTGTACAACTCCATACACTCCTTTTGCGCAAGGATTGCGCTCAGTAAAGGGCATAGAGCTCACGCTTGTAAGTAGACCTGGCTAGTTTTTGAGATGGCATCTTTATGCTCATATACTCGATCAGTCTCAACTTGGGCCATATACTCCCAAGGAGATGGTGTCTCCAATAGACCAGCGCTCAGTAAAGGGCATAGAACTCACGCTTGTAAGTAGACCTGGCTAGTTTCTGAGATGGCATTTTTATGCTCATATACTCAATCAGTCTCAACTTTGGCCCCTCCTTTTGCGCAAGGACTGCGCCTATGACATATTGGCTGGCATTTGTGGTCACGACAAAGTGTTATCAGGATCCGGAAGTTTGAGGACTTCGTAGTGTGTCAGAGCATACTTCAGTTTCCTGAAGGCCGCCTCACACTCTTCAGTTCGAGTCAGATCTGTTAATGGGGAAATTATAGTACTATAGCTCCTAACAAACGGATGATAGTAGCCCACCATCCCCCAAAACGATCTGACCTCAGTAACAATCTGAGGCCTGGGCTAGTCGCGTATATTGGCCACCTTAGCATCGTCCGACCTTAATCCATCCGCGGAGATTTCATGACCCAAGTACAAGATCTTGGTGCGACCGAACTCACATTTCTCCAAGTTAACCTTGTACTGGTGCTGTTTTAGGAGACCTAACACTATTTTTAAGTGCTCGGCGTGCTCTTCTACAGTTCTACTAAACATAAGAATATCGTCGAGGTACACAACGATAAACTTGTCTAAGTACTCATGAAATATCTTGTTCATTGCTTGCTGGAATGTTCCAAGTGCATTGCATAGGCCAAAGGGCATCACCACAAACTCGTACAGATCGTACCTGGTCTGAAATGCGGTTTTGTGCTGGTCCTCAGGTCTAATGGCAATTTGATGGTATCTGGACTTCAGATCTATCTTTGTGAAGTACCGGTGTCCCTGCACTCTATCCAGTAGGTCGTCGATGCGGGGTAGGGGCTCCGTGTTCTTAACGGTGATGACATTGAGGCCCCTATAGTCAATGCACATCCTCAAGGTACCTCCCTTCTTAGGAACAATAAGACTGACGCACCGTATGGGGAGGTACTAGGCCGAATCCATCCCTTCTCTGTGAGCTCTGTAAGCTGGCGCCTGAGCTCATCCAACTCCGCGGGAGACATCCTATAGATTCGTCCTCTAGGTACCTTACTACCCGGGACAACCTCTATTGCATGGACCACCTCCCTATCCACCACACCTATGGGCTCCTCAAAAAGGTCTGGATATTGAGCGACAACTGATTCTATTTCTGGGGGTGATTTTACGACCTCCCCTTTCTCAAGGACAAAGACTAGATACATGCCCTCCTGGCGATTCTGCTTATAGTAGTTATAGAAAGAGGAGGCACACATGCAGCCATAGTTTTCCACTAGACTGCTAGCTTTAAACTTTTGCAGTCTAACGGTCCTACCGTTGGGCAGCTTGTGTAGCAACACCTTCCTATCCCAATCAAACTGAGGTTGAGAAACCTCGAGGTAGTACATGCATAGCAACATGTCAAAGGGCAAGTTCGTCGCTGACGAGGAATGAAATTTTATGTCTCACTTCCCCTCCTCCATAAGAGAAGGGACAGACTACATCCCTGACATAGTCTTTAACTAACATCTGGTGCTTGTTGGCTAGCGTAGAAGCTACAGTTCTGCTAAGCCGCTGCACTTGGTCACCTAAGCGCAGTCTATCCACACAAGCACGACTAATGAAATTCTGTGTAGAGCCTATGTCTGCAAAGGTTCCTACCTTGCGGCCACCTACATTGACCTGTACCACGAAATGGTCACCCTTAGGACCTCTACTGATCATCGCCCAAGAGTCTCTGGGGTCCTTCCCTGACCACTCAGACCGTAACTCCTCTAAGGATTCAGACATATCTCTCGAACAGACCGTCGGTGGGTCTGAATGTGTCTGGGGGGCGATGTTTGGGTCTCTAGCCTTGGCCAACGCCTGAAGTGGGGAAGGCAACGTTACCACTTCAACACGAGTAAGAGCGGCTAACACTCCTACTGGCCCGAGGTGTTTCCCTACGAAGTGCTCGCAGAAGCACTGCCAGGGTTAGAAGATAAGCCCACCACCGTTGGTGAGGCTACCTTCGTAGTGACCTTCTTGCCTCGGCAAATCCTAGACGTGTGGCCGTAATTGCCACAGTTCATGCACGTGCCCCTAGCAACTCGGTCCCTGCATACCTCGTAATCTAAACCAAGTTTTACCTATGCGGGTGTTCGTTGGTCACCCTGACCCATAGACCGGCCTACCTTCTTTTTCCCGGTTCCCCTAGCCTTTTCTTTGATAGGCACCACGACTCCCCCATCCGTAGTCTCACTGGCCCCATCATGCTCTGTCTCATCCCCAAGATCTGGGAACTCGTCATTTTTCGGCGTCTGACCATCATGGTCAACGGACAGAGTCGGAAGGCGCGAAGCGAAGCTGTTTGTCAGCTTCCCTTCCCGAGCCCACAAACAAGGCTAAGGTTTTGGGGGGCGAGCTGCATGACGGGAAATTGTCACGTGTGGTTCTGAGGGCAGGCGTTGTGCGCTTCGCGCCTAACCCAAGAGACTTGATTTTGTGCCTTCCATTTCACGGCATGAATTTGGGTACTTAGGAGAGATATCCCATTATGACTTTTTGTGCTTCGCACCTGCTGGCCCTTTTCTTCCATTTGTTGGACCTTGATGCACTGACCCAAGCTTTGCCTCTATATCTAAGGCCTTCTTGCTGAAAGAAGTGAAGTTGTGTTGGTTGACGTAGGCCTCGTCCACCATCTTAGGCCTTACCTCCGAAGGCAAACATCTCAGGTAATCCGTAAGTAGTACCTACTGGTCATAGCGCACACGAGGTATCACGAGCAGACATTCTATGGTATCCGTGATCTCGCGAACGTTCTTGTACCTTTTGGCACAAAGATTGTTGATCGCATCTCTGGCCTTTTGAGCCCCTTGAGGGTCATGCCACCCATTATACACGGACCGTACGAAGTCTTCCAATGTATGGGCCTGGGCCCAAGCATTGAAGTTGTGACCGTGGCCTTGCTGCTGCATTAGGCCATTCAACCAGCGGGCTGCTGACCCCTCTAAAAAGGAGGCAGCCACTCTAACTTCTTGCTCTGGCCTGGTGAGCTTGTGCCTCACATATGTGAACACAGTTCTCACCCAGGTGTCCAGGTCCTCATCCTTTTTCCTGTCGCCAGAAAAAGGTTGACTCAGCAATGGGATCTTTGGCATCCACTACATGGCCTGCATTGGCCTAGGAGACTGCTGCAGTGGCTGCATAGCCACTGAGACAAGTTGCTGTGCACTAACCTGAGCTTGCACCGACGATGGGACTGTAGTTACCACCGTCGTAGATGGTACGACAGAAGTTGTAAGGACCGGACCACTAGTAGCTACATAACCACCTGGACGGGGCATGCCAAACATAGGTGAGAAGGAGGGCCCAACCGGCGACGGCGTCATTGATGGACCCGCAACCGAAGTGGGAGCTACAACAAACCGAGGCTGCCTCATCATTGGACGAGGAGCATAATTCGTTTTTGGCCTGCCACTAGTTCAGCCAACACTTCCTGCTGAACAACCTGCATCTCAGCCACACACAGGAGCGGATTTCACAGGGCTCTCATAGCGGGATCAAGTGAGGACTCATCTAGTGCCTCTAGCTTGCCTAGTTCCTGCAATCTACTACCTAGTTTAGCTTTTCTCATTATAGCTCTTCTTCTTCTCTCTGCTGCTTCATCCAACTGCCGCCACAGCTCATCCTGAAGTTCTTCTGCTTGGAGGATCTCATAATCCTCCGGCGTGAGTTGAGCCTGCTGGCTGACTTGCAAGCCAGCACTCTGGCTAATGGAAGCCTGAGAACCACTCTGACTGACTCCTGACGAAGTGGCCTGTGAAGAGGCCTGCGACATGGAGGAGGTGGCCATGGTTGCACCTGTGCTAGCTATAGTCCTAGACCTGGCGCTGGTCGCGGTGTCCCTCGCTCTCTTCGCCGCTGCTCTCTCTCTAGCCTCTCTCTGTAGTCTTCTCTCGTGTCCTGGACCTAAACTAGGAAAGTCAAGGGTCGACTGAGAGCAGTTCTACGAGTGATCCTAAGGTCGTCCACAAACAACTCCTCCTCACCAGTGCTTGCATCACTCATGAGCTACAATGTGTGTGATCTAAACTAGAATCCACACTCAATCCTACCTCAGTGTTGCATACTTGTGAAACACAGTCAGAAGTATGGCGCAGATTCCCAGAACCGACCACATAATACAGAGTTGATACAAATGCAAGCGGAAGACTTGAGATACCTTGGACTGACTCAGACCTGACTCGGACTGCAATCGAACACTCTCAAACATTCATCAGGGGTGTGAATGCCCTGGCCTCAGACATAGACGAAAGGCTAGGGACTGAGATCATCCACAGACGAAGGAAGAGAGAGAGAGACGAAAGGAGGAGGAGAGGGGAAGATGACGTCAACTCAATGTCTCCAAAGATAGTATCTTAAAATGTCAGAAATGACGAAAATCCGAAATGTCGCGAATACCAAGTCTCACAATGTCTCAGATATCGATCTCACAATGTCAAGTACCTCTCCGAAAGGAAGATGAAATCAGAACCCCAAATAGTCCTCAACTCGTAGTCTCAAGGTCGCTGTCTCAGATGTCATCAGAACTCGCAACCATCTCCCATACTGCAGTAATCTTGTAGGAGAAGTAGAAGTAGACTTAGACTGAGAAGGTAGGAGGAGAGAAAGAGAGAGAGAAAGGAGAGAGGAGGGATGAAGAAGAAGAGGGAGGGAAGGCGAAGCCTTCCTTTCGGATACCTGGTCCATCGCTAAGGCGTTGCAAGGGGCTGGGCTGGTAACTGGCGCTGCGCCCAAGTGCTGCGCTAATCCGCTCGCCGCTGAACCTCGCTGTCTCACCGCTCCTCGCTGTGCTGCAGCGCTGCGCTAAGAGCTAACGTTGCACTGATGCGCTAATCCTGAAGACTAACCTCTAGCCTTACTAACCTCCCTACTGAGGCTGGTACCCAGCCTTTTGGTGTTGGGCCGGCCTCCTACTCGTTGGTACCTATCGGCCTGGACCGTTGATCCAAATCAACGGTCCAGTTTTGAAACTGGTTGGCGCCTAAATTGTGGCAGCCTCTGAACCTCTGTCGGTGGGTCCTAGGCTGGACCGGTACCGGCCTTGTGGCTGTTTGGCCTGGGCCTGCCTGAATCGTCGTGGTCCAGGCCCATCTGGCCTCATTTGAACCGTCGTCCCTCAGGCCTACCTTGCCTATCTGGAACCGGGCCCTAACTGGGGCCCGTGTGGCTCAGCATGCCGCACACTCCCCCCCTTGAAAGACCGAGCTAACTGCGAGGGCGAAGCTATCTGTCCGATGTCCGTACAGGGCGGGCAGGTTGGGCAGCTTCCTTAGCAAGTCGCTGTTTTTCGTAATGCGCGAACATGAGGGGTGTTATCGCCTTCAGATCAGCTCTTGAAATCCAGCGTGTGTCGTTCGGATCGAATTGCTTGAATATAACTTTGTACTGCATCGGCTTGTTGCCATGCTTGCGATGCGTGAGAACACGGTCGACCTCCTGATGACCATCCATTGAAGGAGGGTCTTGTGACCGTCTGCCCGGGAAATCCGCTGCGGAGGCTGGAGTGTAAACTGCCAATTTTGACGCGTGAAAGATCGGGTGGACCGTCAAATGCGGGGGGATCTCAATGATGAAAGATGGACCCGCGGGGTCGTCGCCAGCTGCTGAAGTGACCATCCATGGTCCAAACCACTTAGGGAGGAGCTTGCGCGAGACGTCCTGCTCGAGCGCGAATTCCTCGGAGGCGACCCAAACTAGGTCACCAGCGCGAATTGGACATGGGATGCGANCGCGAGACGTCCTGCTCGAGCGCGAATTCCTCGGAGGCGACCCAAACTAGGTCACCAGCGCGAATTGGACATGGGATGCGACGCCGGTTCGCTTGTTGCTGCATACGCACCTGAGCCTTTTGCATGTTTGTGCGGGCTTTGGCCAGCAATTCCCTGTACTTCCGTGTAGAAGCGGGGGAGCAAGCAGCGTCTATATCGGCAGCCCGTGGAAGCAAAATGTTTGCGAAGATACGTCCTTTCCGTCCACCATGGTGCAACTCGAATGGAGTCACGCCAATCGCCGGGTGCACCGAAGTGTTGTAGGCGAACTCGATGTCGGGAAGGCGGTCAACCCAGTCCTTCTGACCCGGGCGGATGAGTGTGCGAAGCATCATCTGCGCAGTCTGGTGCGCACGTTCAGTTTGCCTATCAGTTTGAGGATGCCGTGCAGAACTCGGTTTCATGCTGGTGCCGGATTCCACCAGGAGTGTCGTCCAAAAGGCCGACATGAAACGAGTGTCGCGGTCGCTGACGATGTCTTCCGGAACGCCGTGGCTGCAAAACCAGCCGGTATGCAAAAGTCGTGCGAGCTTGGGAGCCGTGGCATGATACTTGCATGGAAGAAATCGAGCGTACTTGCTCAAACGGTCAACGACCGTGAGAATACCATCATGACCAAGGCGATCGCGAGGGAAAGGACCGGTCACATCCATAGCAATGGAGAGACCCGGTGTCTGAGGAATCGGCAATGGTTTCAGTTCACCGTACGGGAGCTGATGGCGCCCTTTGTTCCGGTGGCAAACTGCGCATGATTGAATGTACCGGTTGACGTCGCTGATGATGTCCGGCCAGTGAAATCGCTTGCGGAGTCGTGCTAGTGTGCGTGCGACGCCAAGGTGTCCCACCAGCCACGAATCGTGGAATTCGCCAAGGTTGCGAGTGCGCAAGATGCGGTCTTGGGGAACACAGAACAAGTCCTTGCCTAGTGTATGAAGAAGCAAGTAGCCGTGGACAATGCGATAGTTGCTTGCTGGCGATTGATCCGATGATAAGTCCGCATAGAGTGTGGAGAATCCCGGATCCGACTTGTAGCCATTTACGAAGTGCTGTTGCAGGTTCTCGTCGAGGCCGAATGTGGAGTGCACCAAGGCGCAAAGATCAGGTCTTCACGAGAGAGCATCCGCTGCCTTGTTCGAGGAACCCGGAATGTGCTTGGAGGTGAAGTCGAATTGGTCAATGAAGTACATCCATCGACCGATCGTGCTGCTCACCGTGTCTTGTGTCTTGTAATACGTCAACGGATTGTTGTCCATTGCCCATATGAAACGCCGACGCCCGAGGAGAAAGTGACGCCAACGCTTAAGTACGGTGACAAAAGCTAGGATTTCCTTCTTCCTCGCATCATCCAGAGTGTTGATGGGCGGCACCTTTTGGCTGAAGTACTCAACCGCATGCCAATCTGTGCTGTCATGCTGTTCCACAACCGCGCCAATGCCGTAACCGGAAGCGTCCGTAGTCACTTTGGTAGGCAAGGTCGGGTCATAGATGCTTAAGACGGGAGCTTGAAGCAAAGTCGTCTTTAGCATGTGAAACGCATGCCGGGCTTCGTCGCTGAACTCGAAAGGCACGAAGGGGGACTGAAGTCGCGACAATGGTGTAGCGATATGTTAAAATCCTTTGATGAAGCGCATGTAGTATGATGCCAAGTTGAGAAAGGAGCGGATGTCGGTAGTACACTTGAGGTCCGACCAATCTTGAATGGCTTGTACCTTGTCCGCGAGCGAACGAATGCCTTGCGGCGTAACGTAATGGCCTAAGTACTCCAGCTCTTGCTGGGCAAACTCGCACTTGTCGCGGTTCGCCTTGTACTTGGCGATTCGAAGCCGCTCCAAAACGGCGCGAAGGTGCTCGAGATGCTCGTCCAACGTCCAGCTATAAACCAAGATGTCATCGAGGTAAATGAGCACGGTGCGGTCGTGTAAGTCGTAGAATTCCGTCGTCATAGCCGCTTGGAAAGTAGCCTGGGCGTTGGTGAGACTGAAAGGCATGACGATCCACTCAAAATGCCCATACCGCGTCTTGAAAGTGGTCTTGTACCGATCTCTTGGCTGGATCTCGATCTGGTGACATCCGGACTTGAGGTCAAGCTTCGAGAAGTACTTGGCGCCGCCTAGTCGCTCGAGAAGATCATCGATCCGAGGGAGAGGGTCGGCGTTCTTCATAGTTTGCGCGTTAAGTTTCCGATAGTCGATGCACAAACGAAGGTCCTTGTTCTTCTTCCGGACGAAGAGAACGGGAGCACCGTATAGCGAACAGCTAGGGCGAATCCATCCCTTGGCCAAGAGGTCGTCTACTTGTGCCCGAAGCACCGTGCGGAGGTACGGCACCGTCCTCGAGAGTGATCCCGTGGCGTATGGGCCGATCCGGTATGACTCCGGCGGGAGCTTGAAAGACATCCTCATAGCTGTCCAACAGCTCAATGATGTGTGGGTCCACCGTATCCGTCTTGGGCTGATCACCGGGTGGGAGGGCGTGAAGAAAACATATGCCCATCTCCTCGATGTCCTTCCGCCGGAGGGATTGGCGAATGCTCGCCACGGATACCACGTGACAACCAATCGAAGGACGAGGAAGCGGCACTGTACACGGGACTAGTTCGCCGCGCCGATCACGAACGTGAACGGTGCGTCGATGGAAGTTCACCGGATGGTCTTCGTTTTGCAGCCACGACATGCCTAGGATCATATCAAACTTGGTGTCCAATATGTCGAAAGACACGGCCTCGCATGCTAGCGGGGCAAAGTACACGGCACCGAGTCAACGCATCTGTCGATTGACTTTTGCGTATGAACATCGGCCAACGTGACGTGCGTAGGCTGACTTTTCCTTCGAACGCGCGGGCCAAGCCCGGCGCATGCCATGAAGTCTTGGCTGATGTAGTTGCGAGTCGCTCCGCAATCGATCAAGGCACTGCAGGTCACCTTTCGATCTGAATGCGGATGTAGAGGAGCGGTGCGTCGTTGTCGACGTACCGTTGCGTTGCGTACTCGCGGTCGATCTTCGCAAGATAGTTACGAAGGTCAAAAACCGCTACTCCGCCGTCCGTCGACCGAGGTGGTACTGCAACGTGCAAGTATTCGCGTAGATGTGCCATTAAGGCATTGCAATGCGGAGTTGGCAAAGAACCGGTGGAGGGAAGAGGCAACCATTGGAAGTCCTCAACCGTCAACGGGTCGAGTTCCTCAAGACTCGCCCAAGTTGACGGATCCTCCGGTGATAGGGCTGGCGAAACAACCGGTTCGTTGTCCGACGACGGAACTGCCGTGCATGCGCTTGAATCTTGCACGTGGAGAGGCTGGTTCAATGGTGGGACCAGCTCGACAGCATAGTTCTCAAACTCAACGCAAGAACTTGCGACTACCGCGGTGTCCCCGGATGTGAGAGAGGCTGCTAGCAAGGCAGCCGACTTTGGCGGACTGGGAAATGCTGTCGCTGCACTTCCCGCGGTGCTCAGTTTCCCGAGTCCGAACGCTTGACATTTTCCTTGTCCTTGTCGAGGCAGGCACTGGTGATGTGTTTGGTGTTGTTGCACCACAAACAACATGACCATTTCTGTCGCAACTTAAACATTTCTTCGGTAATGCCAAATTTCGTCCATGGTGCATGTCGTGCTCCATCCGCCGACGCTGGTTTCGCCTTTTGTTTTCCCCCTCGGGGTCTTGAGCGTTGCGGTGGTATCGCTGCCGCCACATCTCCGTCACTTGATGTAGACGCGGCTGTGGGGTCCTCACCTGTCCTTGCTGGACTGCTGCTACTTGCGGCGTCCGTTGTCCCTTGCCTTTCTCCACGTAACCGGGCTGTTGGCGGGCCTCGTTAGCCGCATGCCGGTTACCTTGTATAAGCTCTCTAGTTTTGGCGATCATGTCGTCAAAGTTCTTATACTCGAATTCGCTGCCGAAAGCAGCTGTCAAGGCGTCGCAAGATCGGGCGAAGAACTCGCCTCGGATTGAGTTGAACGGCAGGTTCAACTCCGGGGTGGCGACAAGTCTTTGCCACTCCGTCAGCCATTCCCGTGAAGGTTGCTGGCCTTGGAAGATGCGGAAGATCTTGTTCAAGGTGTGACGCTTGTCATTGTTCACCATGAACCGGGTCTTCCACTTCTTTTCAAACTCCTCCCACGTGATCTTCGTGTGGAGGGTGGCGTTGGTACATTCGAGCGTGACGGGCATGTGCGTCATGAATGTTTGCGCCCTGCCTATAAGTTGGAGGTACAATGCGTCCATCCGCCGTAGGGGCGGAGTATGATGTACGTCGGCCTCTGCGTTGAACGCCATCCACCATTGCAGCGGATTGGTCTTATGGTAATCGTCGAACTTCTCGATGTTGAAGTTCGGCATCTTCCATTCCTTGGCGGCCGCTCGTTGCTGGACTTGCTCGCTGAGCGTCTTCAATTGACTGCTGACTGTCGAGGTTCCGACAAACTTGCTGATGTCGCCAAGGGATGCGACGATGTGATTGATCCGCTCATCAAGCTGTTTGGCTTGAGTGGCCAAAGCTGGGCTGCTGTCCGAAACTGCACCGCCGTTGACTCGACTGCGGACAGTCGTGCCATCCCGGCATCGACGGAGTCCTGCAGTCGGTCGTTGATGGCCTGCTGTTGGCTGTCGGCGGCCTGCAGCATGCCGGTGTCGGCCTGCAGGGCAGTGATGTTCTGATCCATTGCCTTGAAGTTGCCTTCATGGCGGATGAGGACCTGCCGCATAGCCAACAGTTCACGTTGCTGCCAATTGCACGTGTACAACAGGTTCTCAATCAAGACTGCTGTAGTTTCCCTGTTTCTCTCGTCCTTGGTCGGTTCTTCTTGCTCCTCAGTTGCTCGGAAGTGCTGTTGTCGGAGTACTCTGTCGTATGCGGCTTCTTCGTTGAGAAGGTTCATGGCAGCCTGGTACCGAGCCTGAGTTTGACTTGCCTCGAGCTGCTGCTGCTGCAGCCCTGCGGCTGCTGCAGAGTCGGCAGCGTCCTGCTGACGCGCTGCCTGTTCCGCTTCTTGTTGGAGTCGCATGGCTTCCCGTCGGGCGGCATTCTCCTTCTCCCATGTGCGGAGTTCGGTGGCATTGGTCTCCGTATACTGTTGGAGACGCTCGAGAAACGCGAGTGCGTCTTCATTTGCCTGTTGAACTGGCACAGGAGGGGGAACCGGCCTCTTGGGACTGCCTGGCATGTTGCTGTCAGCGTAGCCGGCTGCTGCAGCCATGGCTGTGCGTCGCTTGCGCGGGATCTGCGGTGCCTTGGGTCCCTGTTGGGGCTTGGCTGCCTTGGATTCGCGCTCAGCCAATCGTTGGCTGCGGCGCATTTAGTGTCCTGCTGCTCGTTGCTGCTGACATGGCACTCTGCTGGCGTGGCACTTTGCTGACGTGGCACTTTGTTGACGTGGCACTTTGCTGACGTGGCACTCTGCTGACGTGGCACTCTGCTGACGTGTCACTGTGTTGACGTGTCACTGTGTTGACGTGTCACTGTGCTGACGTGTCCGGAGACTGCAGTCCGTAGGACCTAGAGGAGGAAAGAGAAAGTAGGGGTGCGAAGAAGGGAGGGCAGGCAAGCAATGCACAGACAGTCCCGTTCCTCCTTGACCTTGACACTAATCAAGAGAAAAAAATCCCCCCCCCCACCCCCACCCCCCCCGACGAATTTTCGAATTTTGGGAAATTAAATAAAATTTTAATCGAAAAATTGGAATAAATAAAATTTTAATTTCGGCCAAAAGATTAAATACTTGATTAACGAATATTTACATTTGCAATAATGAATTTCACAAACGTTAAATATTTAATCAAGAATATTTAAATTTGCATCAATGACATGAATAAGTTTAAGCAAGTTTAAACATTTAGACATAACTTTCAAAATTTTCACAAAATTTCGTCGGAAGAATTTAGCATCATCACGAGGTCACTCATTTAGTAGAGATAAATGGTAGCAGGAAGATACACAATTTGCTGGAAAGATTCAACCTTTCAAACGCAAAAAAAGATGCAGTTTGCAAAAAGTGAAAGTTTCGTGAAGTTGCAGTTCGAATATGGCCTTGCTCAGGCCCGATCAGCCTTGATTGGAGCGGTGCCTGGCTGGCACTTACGTCGTATAGGTTAGGTAGGTCGTTTAGATTAGGTTAGGACTAACCCTAATTAGCGCTAATTAGGTTTACTCGTGATTAGCGATTTCCTAATTGCACGATATGGAGAAATGTCACAAACCTAAAACTATAATTTTAACGACCGAATTAACCATGAAAGTACGAGAAAAAAAAAAAAATTGGAACTTGCGATTTAATGATAACAGAGTGCAGGTATTGATAATCAATCAATCAATCAATCAATCAATCAATCAATCAATTAATGGTGAGTCATCCAATGCTGGTCTGCTCCGATACCAAACTGTTGCATACTCGTGAAACACAGTCATGGCACAGATTCCCAGAACCGACCAGATACTACAGAGTTGATACAAATGCAAGCGGAAGACTTGAGATACCTTGGACTGACTCAGACCTGACTCGGACTGCAATCGAACACTCTCAAACATTCATGAGGGGTGTGAATGCCCTGGCCTCAAACATAGACGAAAGGCCAGGGACAAAGATCATCCACAGACGAAGGGAGAGAGGGAGAGAGACGAAAGGCCGGGGACTGAGATCATCCACAGACGAAGGGAGAGAGAGAGAGACGAAAGGAGGAGGAGAGGGGAATATGACGTCAACTGAATGTCTCCAAAGATAGTATCTTGAAATGTCAGAAATGACGAAAATCTGAAATGTTGCGAATACCAAGTCTCACAATGTCTCAGATATCGATTTCACAATGTCAAGTACCTCTCCGGAAGGAAGATGAAATCAGAACCTCAAATAGTCCTCAACTCGTAGTCTCAAGGTCGCTGTCTCAGATGTCATCAGAACTCGCAACCATCTCCCATACTGCAGTAATCCTGTAGGAGAAGTAGAAGTAGACTTAGACTGAGAAGGTAGGAGGAGAGAAAGAGAGAGAGAGAGGAGAGAGGAGCGATGGAGAAGAAGAGGGAGGGAAGGCGAAGCCTTCCTTTCGGATACCTGGTCCGTCGTTAAGGCGCTGCAAGGGGCTGGGCCGGTAACTGGCGCTGCGCCCAAGTGCTGCGTTAATCCGCTCGCCACTGAGCCTCGCTGTCTGGCCGCTCCTCGCTGTGCTGCAGCATCGTGCTAAGAGTTAACGCTGCACTGATGCGCTAATCCTGAAGACTAACCTCTAGCCTTACTAACCTCACTACTGAGGCTGGTACCCAGCCTTTTGTAGTGTTGGGCCGGCCTCCTACTCGCTGGTACCTACCGGCCTGGACCGTTGATCCAGATGAACGGTCCAGTTCTGAAACTGGTTGGCGCCTAAACTGTGGCAGCCTCTGAACCGTTGTCGGTGGGTCCTAGGCTGGACCGGTACCGGCCTTGTGGCTGTTTGGCTTGGGCCTGCCTGATCCGCCGTGGTCCAGGCCCATCTGGCCTCATCTGAACCGTCGTCCCTCAAGCGTACCCTGCCTGTTTGGAACCGGGCCCTAACTGGGGCGCGTGTGGCTCAGTATGCCACATCAGCATGACACACAACTGAGTATGATTCACAACTAATTTCGGTTTGCCTCGGCCTGGACAGAAACAGTTAGGTAGTTAAGTGTCAACCAATGTCAGGTCCTACAAGGAATGTTAAATCTATTTTTAGATTACTCTAATACAGATTGCCATGCAGCAAAGAATATACTACTCAATCTGCAGCTGTCTGTCCGTTGTTAGACAAGTCCGTAACAACGAAATAATCAAAAATAAAAATAACATCTCCTGCGGAGATGTATGCTGGATGGCAGTTTATCTATTTAGTGCCACATCGAACAGTTACCGGAATCCGACCCTTTCCCTGTATCCCTCTTGAGTAGTCTCTTTGTGTCAATGCCCTATGCAACTGATTGAGCAGCGTGTCTGAAGGTGTGCAATCTGGCCCACCCTTGTGCCCCAAGTCTACTCCGCACCTGCCTGCCCCTGCACCTGATTTATCCCTGCATGCAACGAGCGTTACACCCGGTTTGATCTGGCTGATCAAGAGGCAGTTTTAGGACAACCCCCATGGTCCTCAGGAATTATTTAACGTCGCAATCAGGACGACGATCACAGCCAGAGTCAACACAGAGTCCCCGCCAGAAATATTTAAAGACGGTCTCGAAAGCGTTTGTTCAAAGGGCTGGCATGCCCTGCATGACCTCGGCTGGCATGCCCTGCATGACCTCCATTGCGCAGCAGCAAAACCAAGGACTTGCGGCAAAGCATGCGTGTACTAGTCCCAGCGGGTTGGCATGGTGACCGTGACCCGAGCGCTTCGTCTAGTGCCCTTCAGAGGCATCGCCCGTCTCCCACCAGCGTACTGCCCAGGAAGAATGTCGACTATCAAGGTTGAGCGCTTGCGACACCTCACATTGAGAGGACTTTCAAGACGGAACTCACTTCCTCACGGTAAGAAGTAATGGAGAGGGTAGATAAGGAAGAGAGCAAAGTAGCTCATAATGCTGCCCGCAATCACAGATTTCTCATCGGCAACCTGATGTGCATTTATGATGACCAGTCTTTGCCTCGGCACAACCAACAGCAGAATGCAGTTCCACCTCGGCTTAAATGCCACATCTGCGAGCTCTCATCATCCAGCGTACACCCCTAATGTCACCACATAGCTTCCTGACGCGCCCACACGACCCTGGGCCGCCTTACATTCCTCGCCCAAGCCTTATCACTGCCCCACACCTCATGCGAAGCACCGAACAACTATTGCGAAGAACCAATGAGCACAGTTTAAACCAACTCCGATACCAAATTGCAAGGAAAATGAGCAATAACGAGATGACAATAAGCAGATTGCACAATCACATTGAAGGCCAAAATGTATCACAGTAAAAAGGCCTTTACCTGATTCAGACCCTGTTTGAGAAGTGCAGCATAAAGGGGTCACTCGCCAGACCCCCCAACTCGTGAAAAGCAGATCAACAGGTATGTTCTTTGGGTCAAAAGGCACATTCAAAGGTCAAAAGTTGTGCCCTGGACGAACAGTCGCAGTGTTCAAACACAACTGTTCATCCAGGGGATGTGCAGTCCATGTTTGTTCATGCAAAAGTTGTGTCTGTTCGTGCAGTATAGGTGTATGTTCGTGTAAAATGTATGTCTGTACGTATAGCAGGTGTGTCCTTTCAAAAGGAAGTCAAAAGGTTGAATCCCAGTCAGGATTCCAATCAAAGGAGAAGTCCAGATTCAGGTTTGCAGTCCGAAATTGAGGCGTGAAGGCCGCAGCAGCAGTGGAACCTGAGGAAAAGGAACTGTGGCACACAGCACAGAGGCCGGGACTAGGAAAGAGACCAACAAAGACTGAATTCAGACCTCGCCAGGGGAGGCCAGCACTATAAGAAACGAGGCAGACTCCCCACAAGGCAGATCCCCATGAGCATTGATGCGTGGAAGTGCTGAGGCACTTGTGTGCTAAGGTGCAGGGAGGAAGCGCTGGCAGAAGAAGAAGCTGCGCGGGCTACAGCAAGCCATAGCTGCGCCAGGCAGAGCTAGTCTTAGTAGTATTACCAGGGTTAGTGTTAGTACATTAGTGAGAGGCATTCTGAGTAGATCCGTGTAGACAGGGAGTGTGCATGTAAGAAGAGACAAGGGGAACCGGGGTAGAGATCTTGAGAGGAGAGAACAAGGGAGAGTGAAGACAGGTGGAGACACTGGTTATGGTGGAAACCTACCTGTTGGCGCCATTCTTGAGATCTGGAACAAGCGCTGGCTAAGTCGGGCTCTGTGTGTATATTGGAACGAAGGGGAGACTTATATACCTTGGGCGCTGGACTCTTGAACTTGGATACTCTTGTATAACGTGATTTTTGATAATATAAGTTGCACTACTTGGTCTTCTGTCATCTCAACTTTGAACTTTGTGTGACGCTATCCTATCTGTGTTTGGTGACATGTGTGCATGCAAATGAGACACTCCAGCAAGTGTGAACAGTCGGGGCCCTTGCATTTTGGTATTAGAGCAGACTCTTTGCGCTCGCTGATGCACTGGCTTGAGGGAAGCTGGCTAGAGAGAGAGATGCTGGCTTGAAGATGCTGGCTATGGTAAAGGTGTAAGGAGAGAAGAAGTGGATTGGGACATGAGAGAGGAGTAGGCCGAAGGGGAAGACGTGAAGGAGAGAACTTACCTCGCGTGGAGCATTGGAGTGCGGAGCGACGAGGAG